CAGATCAAACGGGCCAAACACAATTATCTGCTTGATCGTCCCGCAACCACGGCATATTATGCATGGACCCCCGAAGGACGCGGTGAGAAGATTGTCGATGAGGCAACCTACAAGCGTATTGTGGATTTACTGCTACACCTCGACTTTGCCACCCTCAACAAAGCGGTTGGTAGTACACGCCGCTGGCTGAGTGAAGGCGGAGGCGGTGGGCACTGGGGCGTTGTTGTATCTGGTGCACGTGAGACGCCAACTCAAACGGCACACGGCCGCGAGAACGGCGTGAACAATCTCACGGGTCTCGTCAAGAGAAAACGAACTGACTCGACTGTTGATGAGTCTCAAAACAAGGTTAATGTCCTTGCAGATGGCCTCGTCAAGAAGAAGCCAAAAGAAGAGTCCAAGGTTGTAAATGTACTTTCCACTGGTCTGATTAGGAAGAAGCCCAAGGAGTAAGTGTATCTGTAAATTAGCGTTGGGTATTGTCAAGCCGGAGTTGGTATATGTATTGGTCAACGCATTCGTTATCATGATTCTATGCTACTTCTATCCTCTATTGCACCTGTATCTGCTACTTCTTGAGAAACTCTAGGTTCACAGGGGTAATGGCCTCTCCACCACTGAGAACAGCCATGATGTTTCTCATGCTCAGCTCTTCAAAACCTTTGTGGGTGTCGACTGTTCCGCCCGCATTATGGCACGTCACCAACACACGGCCCTGTTTGGCAAGCTCCAACAGTTCAGGGTGTATATTTGGCTCGTTTGCGTGGACATCGAGAGCCGCGCTTGACAGTGTACCATCTTGAAGGGCTGCGACCAGTGCATCTTCGTCAACAAGACTTCCCCGTGCAATGTTGACAAACCGCGATCCACGTTTGAAGGACGGCAGAGTCTTTGAGTCGATCAGAGTGCCTTCTCCAGCTGGTGTGCAGAGAACAACACAGTCACATCGACCAAGTAGACTCTCGAGCGTCTCGTGGTGAGTAGCTCGTACAGGAGCAACGACAGCAGCAGGCTTGGGAAGCACATCATAGTAGTGAATGTCCATGCCAAAGCCATGTCGGGCACGAGCAGCAATCTGCTGGCCAATGTTGCCAAACCCAATGATTCCTAGAGCCTGATCGCGAAGATTGTACGACTGCATTGTAGCATCGCGATGGTTCTCCTTGAAGGCCTCCTCATTGCCGGACATGGCGGATGAGATACACCAAGGGAGGACGCGGAATGTTGAAATGATGCCAACGATGGCAAAGTCAGCTACAGCTTCAGCAGCTGCGAGACCAGAATTGCAGTAGATGATTCCTTGTCAGTTAGCAAATGCCTGCAGGCAGTGTGTCAACTCACCTCGTTCTCCCAGTAGCTTCGTATCAGCCCAGTCAAAGCCAGCACCCGCACTCGCAAATACCTTGACACTCTGTGGCAGAAGATTGATCAGCTCTTGGTCCCATTTCCCCATTTCGCCTCCGGTTCCCCAAAATGGACGAAATATGGCATCAAAATCGCCCCATCTCTTTTCCTTGAGGGCCTTGATGAACTCTGGTCGCTGCCGCTCTTCAATTGGCGGTCTGATGACCTCACACTGAATGCTGAAGCGCAGATATGTGTCAGGATTGTATTTGATAGGGTCTCCAATATGAAGGACCCGCGGTTTTGAGGATGTCATGGATGACCGTATTGAAAGAGATCCTTGGGAAATGAAGGGGAGTTGAGGAGCAGGAGATGTAGCTCGCGGTGTAGAAGCTGGCACCGGCGTATTGGTTGGTTCCGCCATTTTGATGGTCGACTGTCTTATAAAACAAAGTATGAGAGAGAGCACACTAGATTGCCCAAAATGTTAGGTAGTCAGATATGTGTGCCTGATCAGATCAATGTGTCTCAGTAAGTGGAGCGATCGATAACACTCAGCCGCACGCTCACCTCCACTCGCCCTGTCTGGTTCGACAGCCCCCACGGCAGTGATACCCCAGTCTCCGGCCCGTGAGCTTGACGACAACCCCTGTCAAATGACGGTTCCGAGCCGGATGAGCCCCGGTTTATGTTTCGATGTGGAGTTGTTTGCACCAAATCACTAACAAGAATCGAGTCAAGGTGAATGTATCCAATTTGCTTCATAGGAGGTACAGTACATGTCCAAACGGGAGCCTGCATAAGCCGGTACCGGGATACACAAATACCGGTATATCATCCGGGGCCCCAATCTCGTATCCACAGAACATCGTGGGGAATTTTATTGCATGTTTTCATGTGGGGAGATCTCTTACCGACAGCCTTGCATTCAGGTCAGAGTGGTGGTGGAAGTGCAGCATGGCGTGACTTTGGGGGGACTTCTCTGGCCTACAGCTCGTCCGACATATTCTGACCCGACAAGGGAGCTTGTACCTGATTGCTGACATGATCCGACTTCTTGACTGGAAACGTGAACCGTCCAACGTCGACTTTGGTGGGAATATGCCCTGTCCCTAGAGCCTTTTTGATCAATTGAATGGTCGACTTTTCATTTCCATGGACGAGAACCGAGATGCAGACTGGCTGATACTCTGTCTCTCCAGAAATGTCAGACTCGTAGGGCACTTGGGTGACTGGTTGTGTTAGTAGCTACCTGAAGCCAATACACTCGACTTACATGGAAACGATAATACAGAAGCCCCCAATACCGGTGCCAGTGTTGCAGAGTCGATGCCTTTGTAAATGGTTGGTGGACTAATATGCTGTCAGCCAGGTATCAATACAGGGAAATGTACATACGCCACAGGATCATTCCGATGTTCAACTTGAGAACTTCCACATGGAAGGATCACGACTGCGTCTCCCTTGGCATTGGGGGTAGGATTGTGCATAATGTTCTCAAGGAACCATTTCCGGTATACCCCAAGACGTTCTGTGTCTTGACGGTTTTCCTCCTCTGTCACCGACTTGCATTCGTTCCTGGGAGGTCAGCTGGTTTAATGACTGCGCGATGGACGGCCATACCAGAAGAATTGCGGCGTAGCCTCGATAAACGGCTTTTTGTCAAACTTTTGCTTATATTCATCTCGGAAAGTGTCAAAGGAACGGTAGTAATCATAACACCATGAACGGAAAGGTGCCTGAATTGTCAGTGACGTCTTTTTGATGAAGTCGACTAACCTTTTTCATGTATGCTTGCATTCCTTCTCGAGAAGCTTCAGATGGAGGACTTTCTTCCCAAATCTTGCCGACATTGACGTACTCGGCTTTCGTGTCCAACAGATCTTGTAAAATTGACACGAAAGTCGCTATGACTGTTTTCTGCGACTTTTCGGGTGATGACAAGTCGTCGGGTACGATTATCCTTGGCGAAGCTTCAGAAGCCCCGGTCTTCGGATCTGCGGTGAAATCGAGGAGCCCGTTGAGGCTTCGACTAAAGATTCGAGTTTTGTCGAACCTAGGGTGGTCAGTGTAGCTCAACGGTAGGTCATAGTTCTCACTTTGATGCCGTAGCTATGTCGGTTGATAGATTTTCAGGCTGACTCAAGGAGTATATGCCGCCCTCGGACATGACTCTACCATCTATTTGCGGTCAGTCTTGGCTTCTCGCGATGGCCTGACTTACCGTCAACGCCAATGCTGTAGTCAATCCATGAGTACCCAACCGAAGCAGCACCAGCACCAACTGAACCACCCTTCATCCTTTGATATCCATCACCTCTTGCACTCCAAGGAGCTTGTTGATCAACCCATTCAGCACCTGTCCCAAGATGCGATGTCTTTGTCTTTCCAACGATGACGGCTCCTTGGTCCATGAGACTTTGTGCATATTTAGCCGTAGAAGTCGAGGCATTTCTGTAGAGAGATTTCCATGCCCGACTGGAAAAGCTTGTATAAGTTCTTTTCAACGATATCGTGTCGCTTATAGAAACTCGGACACCAGACAGGGGTTTCTTGGCAGAAGGTTGAGGATGGTAAAGCCTTGATGGCACAGGAACTGCAACTGAGTCTCCATAAACGGACGAAGAGGTCAGGGGTTGGAATCTGTATGGTCAGCTACGACTTGCACTGGAGACACGACATACTCGTCAGGTTGGTTCAGATCATCGGGTATCACACCAGAAGTGAAAGCTCCAAATTCATCATCGTACAGTCGCCAGGCTTGGTAAAGGTTTGGGCCGTAGAGAAAGTAGGGACCAGATGGTAACTCAGAGAAGCCATCTAGAGCCTTGATCTGATCCATGTGATAGATCTGTCGTGTGTCGACATGGACCTGGCTACTGTTGTCGCCACTCTTTTCGACAAGAATGGAACCAAAGTCAGGAACAAACACATCATCAATTGAATCGAAGAGCTGTAGAATTCCTTCGAGATCGCCAAAGATTTCCTCAGTTGAGAGGAGCGTGATTGGAATCAGAGCATCAGGGTTGATGGTTTCTTGAATGGTTCCCTAGACGCGTTAGGATGCGCATGGATTTCAATAGCCAACATACAAGCTTTAAAGGGTGTATCAGATATTGCAGTCCTGCGACGAAGCAGGTCGTGAAGGGAAGCATTGCTAATGCGTCTGCTGGAGACGGCGGGACGTTGGCAAGTAACGAACGCTAGACAGACACTTGCATATTCACGGCCACAGGTCTTTTTGAAGGATTAGAACGCGTAAATTGAGCTTGAGTACTTGTAGGTTCGGCTGTAGGTGAAAGATTGATGGAATGAGATGATGCTGGTGCACGAGGGAAGTTGAGACATTCATAGGGTACAAGTGCAAGAGCGTGTACTCAACCCGGCAGCCGACTTACTCTATGGCTTGATCACAATTTCCCGTAAATACTCATCATTCAGGCAGTTTAGTTACTTCAAGAGGCCCTCAATTTATACAGGCAGCATGTTTGACATGTCATTGTCATCAACACTTTGCCGATGTCTCTCTACCTAGATCCTGATGTGGTCGGTGAGCTCGGTGAGTCTCGGTGAGCTTATCTTTGTGGGGTATCAAAATTTCCATCCCCCACCAAGCCGAAGTTGCAGATTCAACATCACACTCAAACACCAACAAAATGGCGAAAAAGAAGGGTACGTCCTCTGTCCCCCCTGCGCTCTAATCTGACATGTTCAGCACCCTCAATCCACTCCCGCGCCGCTCGTCGCGCAACAGACATCGACATCGACACCGACAAGTCACTAAAAGAAGTCAAGCCTCCCCGCGATGCTACCCAGCGGCCCTCCGTTCTAGCAGCGCACCACTCGGCCGGTATCACCAAGAAGGCCAAGCGCGGTCGCAAAGAGAAGATGTCTGCCAAGGCTAGAAAACGTCATGAGAAGGGCCTCGAGATGGCTGCTGCTGTTGTGGAGCGCACCAAGAACAAGGTTGAGAAGAGTAAGGGCCGGGGGAGGAACATTCAGCAGAGAAGTAAGAATTGGGATGAGATTAACAGGGCTACTGAGGAGGCTGAGGGTGCGGAGAGCGCGGAGAGTGATGCCGATGTGAAGGGGCGTGGGGTCGCTATGGACGAGGATATGGATGTTGCAGACGAGACATCTACAGAAGTCACCGCTCCCGCGGCGGTACCTCTACCCGCGGACGAGGATGGTGACGAGATCCTCTAGTTCTTGGGTCTGGACTTGGAGTTTGGTGTCTAAAATGGGCTCAATATCCGGGATACGACAACCGGACTGATGACTTTCTTTATTCGGCTATAGACTTGACTGGCAGATACCCAGAATATGATGTTATATCAAACAGTTACGCATCCTTTTGAGCGTCGACCTCTGGTGATTCTTCTTTCACCTGTAGCGTCTCACGGGCCTGTTTTGTGATTCCCTCGAGGTAAATCCTCATCGTCTTCCCAACCTCTCCATCTCTTGGCTTGGACTCTCTCGAACCTAGTTGCTCGATCAACTTGTTCACCTTGGCGTATACTTCCTCTGTGGTATCCTCAGATGTTCGTTTCTTCTGTCCCCTCTTCTTGAACCCGAGAATGAGCTCCACCTTCATACCCTTGCTGAGGAACCCAACCAGCTGCTGTGTCTTGACCCCGAGGTCATGCTCGCTGATGGCCCAGCTCATTTCGACCTCCTTGAGCTTGGGTGTGGTCTGTTTGGACAAACGGCGGCGTTGGGCTAATTCACGCTGACGCTCGTATTCTTCCTTCTTGTTGACAATCTTGCAGATAGCATACTGGGTTGGCTTGTCCTTCTTTAGATCACCTGGGATGTAGGGTGTCACCATGCGAAGTGAATCTGTCTCGGGCAGTCGGCTCATCACATTTTTGGTGAGAAGAGGTCCATCGAATACACCATTATCGAGAACCATGATCTTTGGGTCCGTGATCTCGAAATCTTGGGGCAGGCGATCGCGACCAGACTTTTCAAACTCCTCCTGGGTAGTGTATCGTCGATCGAAACCTCGGTCCTGGCCCTCATCAGCGAACGGATCTACCTCGGTTTCATCTTCGCGTTTCTTCGCTTTCTTATTCCGCGCTTTCAATTGCGACGCGGAGAAGAAGCGGTTTTGTATGGGCAGGGCTCGCGGAGGTTGGAACTGTCGTGTGAGGAGACCCTCATGCTGAACGAAGACCCTGTAGAGGGCTCGACGGGAGCTTTGAAGGCATGCAAAGCTGTTCATTCTCGAGGTGCCCTAAAGGAGTGTCTGTCGCGCCGTAAAAGAGTGTAGACAGTCAACAATGGCTTGAATGCATTGACTGATCCATCGTCTTAATGGTGGGCGGTTGATTTTGGCAGAAACGTCACTGTGGGGTGCTGTCAACTTATCCAATCAGGTGCTCTTTGCCCTTTCAGCACCAAGCTCCCGTCTGGATGGATTTGCTGTAACACACTCAACTCAGCCCGTCAGGGCACTCACGATGGCTTCATTTCATTTCGCCCGCCGTCCTGTGCGGACAACAGTATCCTTCCTCAAGGCCGCTTGTCTCGTGCACCTTGGAATCACGTACGGCTATACCATCAGCCCAGCTCAAGGCCCTTCAATGCTTCCAACATTCACAGTCGATGGTGACTGGATTCTATGTGATCACACGCGTCGCTATGGTCGCGGTGTTTCTGTTGGTGACTTGGTCGTCTACCGCATCCCAATCTTCAACAACCAGTGGGGAGTGAAACGTGTAATAGGCATGCCAGGGGACTATGTCTCTGTGGGAACCCCAGGAGAGCAAGGAGAAGAGTTAATGATACAGGTACCAACTCCCTCCTCGTCCCTGGCCATGCTAACTTGTCAGATCCCCGAAGGGCATTGCTGGATTTCAGGAGACAACCTCCCAGCATCAAGAGATTCACGACATTTTGGCCCCTTGCCGCTAGCTCTCATCTCTGGTACTACAATAGCCAAAATATTACCATGGAACGAACGTCAATGGATGAAAAATGGACTTCAAAAGGTTGAAGAGCTAGACTAATCACGAGCAGTCTAATGTAAATATGTATCATCTCTTATCTGGGTATAGAAACTTACACCTCTCGTCTAATTACATCTGCTCTCCCCAAATCAACTGCCCAGTAAGTGATCTAGCGATATCTGCCACATGAATCATCAAACAAAGAGAAAGAATACCGTCCTTCAATGCAGCACGTAGCCCTCTCGTACACCGTCAAACACCATTGTTATAAGAACAATTCTTGAAAGCCCATGACAGGCGATGCAATCCGTATAAAGAGACACCCCTGAAACCAAACATCATTCTTAGAATGTTACATGACGCCAAACACCATATCTCCCAACACCCCATACGCTTCCGCTTTTGAGATGAATAGTCCGCGAATATAGTTAGCCCTCGATGTGAGCCTTGGACATGCTCTGTCCCAGGAGTTCCAGGCAACGTTGAGCTAGGTTGACAACTTCACCCTCATCCTCATCCTCGAATTCATTGTCGGCTTCAATTTGTCGATTTGCAATGCTTCGAATGTGCTCGATGATGTCTTCCGCCTTTCCAATGAGGCCAATAAGAGTCTTGTCCTCGGACTCGAAGAGCTGGAGAAGGGTCCAGACGGCGATGTGCTGGAAGGTAGCATCACCAGACTGTAGGAATCGGCAGAGGTATCCGTGAATTCCACCTTGGGGCTCGGTCCAGTTTTGTACAAAGATTGAGTAGTCACCAACTGCTTTTGTTAGCTTGTGTTTGAATGGCGGTGAAGTTGACTCACCTTTAGAAGAAAGGTTGCCTAGGGCAGCAGCACTGTTGCCTTGGACTTCAATGCTTGGCGAATGGGTGAGAGGAATGAGAACACCGCAGACTCCAAGATTCAAGAGATGAGACTTGAGATCATCACTCAAGGCCAGAACGGCGATAGCAGCGGTCATCTCGGACTGAACAGTGATGGGCACATCAAGAACCAATTGCTTGCACTTTTGCACGGCACCGGCATCCAGAACAAGAGCCTTGTTTCGATCGGAACTGGCGGCGAGATTTCGAAGCGTCGAGATGGCGTGGCACTGAATCTCTTCATTGTCGGTAGATCCAAGTAGGTCGACGAGCGGCTTGAGGAAGTTGGTTTCGATAATTGGTGACTCGTTCAGAGGATGAATAGAGATGTTTCGTATACAGGCGACGGCAGAAAGGATAAGCGGGAGATAAGAAGATTGCAGGAGTCGGAGAAGAGGATGAAGTCCATTGGCGCGAACGATATCGAGCTGATACTTTTCGTCGGAAGCGAGGTTGCGGAGAGCCAGGGCAGCTTGGCATTGAACCTTGGGTGAAGTCGAGTCCATGAGGTTGACAAGAGATTGGACCAATTTGGGTTCGCTTTGAGCCAGCTTTCGTCGGTTGCTTGCGTCGACAGCGATATTGCTGAGAGCTGTGGTGCAGTAGTATTGAACGTCGACATCGGGAGAAGAAAGAAGCTGAACAAGCACGGGAATCGCTCCAGCATTTACCAGTTGTTGTCGGTTCTCGTCTACTCTCGTCAGCATGTCATTATCATTGCCACATACAAAACATACCAGAATGTGTCATGTTTAGCAGAGCGCCAGTAGCATTCCGCTGAACCCGCATATCCCGAGACTTGGCCAATCTTGTCAGAGGACCCAGAGCTCCGGAGCGAGCAATCTTTGCTTTATTCTCCTCATGTGTAGCCAAGTTCGTGATACATCCCACAGCATTGCACTGGACTTCGACATTGGGGGACATCATCTGGCGGATTAAAGGTGTTAGGCCACCAAGTTGCACAATGAGAACCTTGTTCTCGGCTACAATAGTCAGCGGCTGCGAGTGTTGGCTCCGATGTACATACTGTCAACAGCCAGGTTTCCGAGTGCGGCACTGGCAGCTCGCTGAACTTCGATATCGGGGCTCTGGAGAAGGAATAGAATAGGTTCAAGGGTATCGCGGTCAACCTCTCGGACATCTACATTGTTAGACCAGTCGGAAACTCGGAGCTCTGCCGTACCTCGTTCAGTAATCTCAGCAAAAGTCAAACTAGCACTTCGTTGAAGATCAATGTTTTCCGAAAAGACCAAGGTGCTCAGAGCACGCAGAGGTTCGCCAGAGAAGAAGTCGGTCTCGCCGCGCTGTCAAGCATTAGTAACATTCCGAGCAAAATGGAAGACCATGTACATTTTCGAGATACTGGAGAAGATCGGCTACAGCCTCTCGTTCGCTATCGGCGAGGACGGGTTCATACAAGCCATCGCGGGCTCGACCTATTGCTGTCAGATGCATACGGCGACGGATAATAGCATGCATACCTCCGCAGCACGAGGAGCTGCAGATACCCATGGCAAACAATAGCACAAAGGCTTGATGAAAGAAGTATGTTGAACGACGGTGAATGAAAGTCGGTCTCGATTTTGATGCAGTATCGGTCAAGGCTCGGTTGTTGACGAAAGGTCATCCACTTGTCGGCAACGTCACAACAGGGATCCAGATTCGAATTATTATTATCGGGCTCGGTTGTCGGGTGAAGACTACAAAACAATCCTCTATCGGGCAAGGTAAATGACTGACTACCACAGAGGCCAATCACTGGCACGAGATAGTGTCAAGATCGCGGTGTAGAAGGGAAAATTAGTTGGCGATTGCCCAGGCGAGAGATGAATCCGAGGGGGAGTGTATCCTAGCCTCACAGTTGGTTGGCGAGGGAAAGAATGGGGATCAAGACGCGCGCCAGGAAGAAGCAAGGTGAGCGCCGCAGCTCGGGTAGGACCTTCTACAGAGCTCAAACCTAAGCTGCCTGAGGTAAGTAAAGCGTGAGCTAAAGGCAAGAACGGATGAATTGGGGAAGCTACTTCCAGATACATTGGCGTACACTATGTGTACACCACAGAAGAGGTATCTACAGGGGTATTGAGGTTCCCTGCAGGAGGTGACCTCACTTGAGGTCATCCGCCGAAGTAGGGTCCGCCAGGGACGACGTGCGCTATTGTTTAGGTGGTCTAGTGCACGTTAGGTGCAGAGACAGCTGTTACAGTGGCTGGAGTGGACCGCCTCATTATGCTAGCGGTGTTGTGGAAAAGCTTGGACCCTATTGCTTTTATCCAGACATTTCAACGCCTCATTTTGAGATTATTGAATGATCATTTGATGAAAATTTATTTCATATCAAGAGTAGGATATCTATCCATTGTCATAACTAGCATCTATTCAGCGCTTATTTGA